TGGACAAGGTTATGAGGATAACAATCAATGGTGCGAAAATCCACCTTTGGGGTATGGAGATTACCAATTTCAAGATAATTATTTCCACCAAGGGCAAGACTTTGAAGGCTGTGATGATTTCTTCTATCAAGGTAATTATCATGATGATTTTAATTATCATGAAAATTACCAAGAAAGGCTAGAAAATCATTACACCAGCACAAACGAGTATTCCTACGAGGGTGACTCTAGAATTTCACCTTATCCTCAACACGAACTCGAAGAGTTAAAATCGTCCTTACTCGATTTGGTGGAAGACTTAAGAAAGACAAGGATTGAACTAGCATCTCAGGATGAGAGTATCAAGGAATTGTTTGAAAAAATCATTTATGACAATGACCACAAAGTTCAACAGGAGACATACGAGGAAGGTGCTAAATCTGAGGAGGAGGTTGCGGTAACCATGGGCGAGATGGTTGAAACTCTTCTCACCCCTATTTCTTTTGAGCCTCTCATTGCTATTGAGAGAGAGCCTATCCTCGTAGAACTTAATTCTCAAGAGCCCCATATGAAAGTGCCCAATGAGGTTGATGAAGAAACCATAGATGATGAGATACTTTGTGACAAGGAACCTACCCTACCATCTATGGTTGACCTCTCATTTAAGGAGTGCCACAAAGATAGTCTTGGTGAAGATTTTGATCCTACACAAGCTCAAGCACCTGTTGAAATAGTTGATGAAACTTGTGATGTGAAGGAAACAATGCCCGATGATGCCTTCTTTGATTCTCTACTTGAGCATGTTGAGCATAGTTGTGCTAGGCAAAGACTTGTTTGCCTAGATGATATTTGTGGGGGTCGTGAGTTAGGAAGTTGGGATGCAGTCTTAGAGAGTGACACAGAGTCTAAACTTTGTGATTTTCATGTTGAGGGCATAGATGAAGAAGAGAAAACCCATCAAGAGGAGTATGCAATCTCTATTCAAGCTGCTTCTACCTTGAAGGCTCATTATGAGCGGTTGGAGACACCAGAGGTACCTGATCCTGAAATACTTGTTGATTATACTAATGAGAGTGATGCAGGATATGTGCTAATTCCTTGTTCGAACGATGTGTTCTTTGAAGATTATATCACATTTTGGTGGTCACAAGAGTTCAAGGGTCTACGCCATCTGACGGCATACCTGGAGGATAAGGTGGAAGCACTAATGATGAGTGCCCCACAATTGACATGCATAGCTGAGAGTTCTCTCTCAAACGTCAAGCTAGTGACGTTAAAGAAGCGCTTCTTGGGAGGCAACCCATGTTTTTCATAACATTGTTTGTTTGTTTTGTGTGTTTGCAGGGTGTGCTTCAATGTTAATGAAATAAGAGTTTGGCTTAGGCCTTACGGGAGGACACGAGTGATGCTTAGTTTTCTTCCTTAACATTTTATTGTGTTTGTTTGTTTATTCAGGTTGGACATTGTGCCGCTCTTTTGACTTAATTGCTCTTACAAACTGACTATGAATGATGTAATGATTTTTTTTCCTGTTTTCATCGTTCCTCTTCACAAAATCTTTTCAAAACTCAAGTGTGAGGAAAGAACAAAAAAAATGTGCCTTTATTTCCCAATTTTGTGCCTCAAAAGAAGACCTCGAGGGCGAGGTCCAGCTCAAGTGTGAGGAGGTTGCGTTTTACACTCAAAAGTCAAAGCCTTGTTTTAGAACAATCTTTTTACTATTTTTGATATGAAACATTAATTTCTCAATTTGTTATCAAATCACAAAATAGTTTAGAAAATCACCCTTATTATAAGAATTTACTATTATTATTATTTTTGAAAACTTAAAATTGTTATGGGTTTTTGGTTGCGAATGTAAAGGTCTGAATTTGTTTTAATTGGACATTCATTTTATTCATTAAAAAAAATGTTACTATTAATAAACCTCTTCAAAACTCATTGTTATAGGACAATTCCATCTCCGAAAAGGGGCTCTGTTTCATTCGTTAATCACAGTCTGTGAGAATGAAATATGCATTTACCATGGGATAACACCGCCAACAAGAGTGAAAAAGAGCAAAAAAAAAAAAATGGTGAACAAGATGAATGTCCAAATTAGAATAATGAAAATCTTGGGATAAGGAATTGATTGGTGGTTTAACATAATAAATAGTTTTTCTTAAGTAATACTAATTTTAAATTCTTGTATTTTGGGTGATTTTTCTAAAATGTTTAAAAATTGAGAATAAAAGATGAGGTTTTTGTTTCTACTTCTTTAAAATAGCAATTAGATTGTAATACAGTTAGACTTTACCTTTTGAGTGTGTTTACAACTGATTCGTCGCTTGAGGACAAGCAACGCTTAAGTGTGAGGAGATTGATAAGTCCATTTATGTACTTATTTTTCTTATCAAATTTAAGCGATTCTGGATTGAAAAATAGAAAAACAAGGCACATTTTATATATTTTGGTTCAAGTTTCATGAAATCGGGTAAAAATCGCATTCATAACATGTTTTGTGAAATTTCGGGTCAATTGCGTGAAGAAAGTGGCACTTTTTGCCAACAAATGAATTGATACGGAAGTTTGCAAGATATATTGACCAATTGTTCAATGAAAAAAAGTCCAAGTGATGAAGAAATCATGCAAGGAAGTTCAAAACCACGAAGGAGTCACATATATGGCTACTTTTGATGAAAATGGACGATGCATAGAGACACATGTTCGTATTGTGATCATAACTTTGCGCATAATTGTCCAACGTTCGTGATACGAGTTTCATTACATTGATATCTTCCTGATCTACAACTCTTATGAAGAACACAGAGCCAAATAACCACCGTAGAATGGACATATTGCTCAAAGAAGTCAGACATTTGCAGTTGCGATGGAAAGTGACATGTGGTCACCGTTTTGACCATATCTCATAAACTACAAATCCAATGAATGCGATTCAAATTCCAGTAGTTAGCCAAGAAAGAGAGCTACAACTTTGGTGAAGACAACTTTTCCATTTGACGTAATGCGGTGGCGCAGGCGGCCGCCTTTCTGGGCGCCTACGAGTTTTTGACAGTTTCAGCACTTAACACTTTGCATGGCGACAAAATGATGGAAGGCTGCTGACGGGGGCCGGAGGGCGGCCGCCCTCTGTGGCCGCCTGCGGTGGGATGTGATTTACGAGCTGCCGGTAGCTGAGACAAGACGGGAGGCGGCCAAGGAGGGCGGCCGCCTACCGTGGACGCCTGCGGCGGAATCGACCCGTGCACGAAGCTTTGTCGGAGAAATGACCGAAGGCTGCCGGCCATGGCCGGAGGGCGGCCGCCTTCTTGGCCGCCTTCCAATAATCTCCGGCTATAAAAGCCCTCTTCCATCCCCAACTCAATACACCAATTTCAAGCCCAAATCAGATCAAAAAGGGCGTCTTCTTCCTCCTCAAAGCTCGGATTTCCACCATTGTTGCACCTTCAACTTCAATCTTTCATATCTTTCTCATTTTAGCTCCAAATTGTGAGTTCTTTATATGTATTTTCATCCTTTCAATGAGTAGAATCTGAATCTGTACTTAGTTTTTTTATCTGTGCTTCTAAAATTTCCAGAAAATTATTCAACTATTTCGCATTTTCGTCTTAAATTTGAATAAAATAGTTGTTGACATTAAATCCATTCCAATTAATTATATAGTTGTTTACTAGCCTCAAGGTAGTTATTTATCAAAACAAAGTTAATTTTTATGAAGTAGAAGTAAATTTTAATTAATTCCGGCATTTAGTTGTTATTATTACATAAATTAAATTAAATACTCAAAAAAGGAAAAAAATTAGTTTCTGTCCTAATTCCAGTTAAATTCACAGTAATATCACTCCTAGTATTCAATATAAAATTTAGAACGAATTTAGAATATTTGTAGTTGCTTTTTTGTATTTTCTAGTTAATATTGGGAAAATTATCAATTAGTTGTTAAAATTGGATTTTAGGTTATAAAATTCGGGAAAAATTCCAGAAGGTGATATTTTAGTTCTACAAGTTTATTTTGGAAGAATATTATTTTTGTTTAATTTTTGCTATTATACATGCTTAATTCCTTGTTAATGTTGAATTTATTCATTGTATTGTTAAATGAAAAAATGATGTTTATTAGCTAATTTGTTTTGGGCATGAATTGACTAAAGGAATATGGATTGACTTGTTGACCGAAAATTAGGGATTAAAATTAATAATTTGGACTACTTGTTTGAAATGATGAAATAGTAATTAATAATTGTTAGCCATATTCATTAATTAAATTCTTGGAAAATTATTTCTAACTTGTCTATGAGATTAGAAAATAATTTAAGCCAACCATATTCAAGCACATTAATAAGGCCTAGAAATAGGATAATTTAATGAAAGGGATTTACATCTTGTCTATGAGAGATAAATTCAATTGCTTAAATAATGAGTTTAACTAGTTAATGAATTCGGCTATTTTTATTAATTAAAATATTGGAGAATTATTTCTACCTTGTCTATGAGGTTAGAATTTAATTCAAGCCAACCATTTTTGAACACATTAATGACACCTAGAAATAGGATAAATTAATGAAAATAGTTTCTATTCTTGTCTATGAGGAAAGAAATTATTAGTCCAATTTTAGTTTTAATTTCCCTAATTACTAGGTCCAAGAATATATCCATTTCTAATTACTCAATTCATTGCCCTTATTTGCACCAATCCATTTAAGTTTAATATTATATTTTTTCCTTTAGTCTATTTTTGAGCCATCATTAGTATTTGCACAATTTAATTTACTTTCTTTTCCAAAAAGTAGTTTAGAAAATCAATCAAAAGTTTTAATTTGGAAAGCTTCCAATAATTTGCGATAACCTGTGACTGGACTTGAAATCAAGAAGCTCCTCCGCCATTCCTCGAGAGACACGATACTCGGGGAAAAACCGAAAGGTTAGACTCCGTTTTACTACAACGCCGCGAAAGCGGTTATCAGAGGTATAATTTCTTTTGCAAGAAAAATAACAAAATCAGTGAACCATGGTAGTTGTACCTCTTTGATTGCCATTATTTGCTCATATGGGAAATCGTCCTTTATCTCCTCTTCCTTGGGGTTGGGGGTGCCTTCAAGTCGTGAAAGATGATCCGCCACAAGGTTTTCACTCCCCTTCTTGTCTCGGATTTCAAGGTCAAATTCTTGGAGTAATAAAACCCAACGAATTAACCTTGGTTTGGCATCCTTCTTGTTCATGAGATATTTGATGGCGGAGTGATCGGTATAAACAATCACTTTTTGGCCAATGAGGTAAGATCGGAACTTGTCAAAAGCATAAATGACGGCTAGAAATTCCTTCTCGGTGGTGGCATAATTGAGCTCCGCATCATGAAGTAACCTCGATGCGTAGTATATGGCATGAAGTTTCTTTTCTCTTCTTTTCCCAAGTACCACACCGATAGCATGATCGCTAGCGTCACACATCAATTCGAATGGGAGAGACCAATCCGGTGATGTAATAATAGGGGCCGTGGTAAGAGCTTCCTTTAAAGTGTTGAAAGCTTTGAGCCGAGTTGGAGTGATTTCAAAAGGGGTATCCTTGGCTAACAAATCGCATAGAGGTTTAGCGATTTTTGAGAAATCTTTAATGAATCGCCGATAGAAACCGGCATGCCCTAGAAAACTTCGGATAGCTTTCACCGAGTGTGGAGGGGGTAGCTTCTTTATGACTTCAATTTTTGCTTGGTCGACTTCAATGCCTTTGGAGGAAATTTTGTGCCCCAAGACAATTCCTTCGGTTACCATGAAATGGCATTTTTCCCAATTGAGAGCCAAATCGGTTTCTTCACACCGAGTTAACACTTTCTCAAGGGAAAGTAAGCATGAGTCAAAAGAATTTCCGAAAACAGAAAAGTCATCCATGAATACCTCCATGAAGTCTCCCACCATGTCCGCAAAAATTGCCATCACACATCTTTGGAATGTCCCGGGGGCATTGCATAACCCGAATGGCATCCTTCTATAGGCAAATGTGCCAAAAGGACACGTGAATGTTGTCTTTTCTTGGTCCTCGGGAGAGATAGCTATTTGAAAATAGCCGAAGAATCCATCCAAGAAACAAAAGAATTCGTTGCCCGCAACACGCTCTAGCATCTCATCCATGAATGGAAGGGGAAAATGGTCCTTCCTTGTGCCGGAGTTCAATTTCCGGTAGTCTATGCACATCCTCCAACCGGTGACCATTCTAGTAGGAATTAATTCATTCTTACTATTGGCTACCACCGTGATTCCACCCTTTTTTGGAACGACTTGAACGGGGCTTACAAATTTACTATCCGAAATGGGGTAAATTATGCCATAGTCAAGGAGTTTGAGAGCTTCCTCCTTAACTACCTCTTTCATGTTGGGGTTTAGCCTCCTTTGATGCTCCACTGTGGGTTTATGATTCTCCTCCATAAAAATCCGGTGCATACAAAGAGAAGGGCTAATACCCTTAATATCCGCCAAGGACCATGCAATAGATGTTTTGTGGTCCTTCAGTACCCGTAGTAATTTTTCTTCTTGAAGAGACGTGAGTGAAGAAGAAATTCTACCGGGAAAGTTGAGTTGTCTCCAAGAAATGCATATTTGAGGTGCTCCGGTAAAGTTTTCAAAGATGGTTTTGGTGGAACCTCAAGAGATGGCTTTAATGTGGACTTACTTGTTCCAAGATCTTCAAACTTTTGTCGGAATTGTTTGAAAGGAGCTCCGGCTTGTAGGTACATAACTTCCTCAAGAAGTTCATGGCTTTCTTCTTTTTCATTGCATCCTAGCATGATGCAAGTCTCCAAGGGGTCTTCATGAATGATTTTCCCAAAACACTCTTTAGCCAAAGTGTCAAGAATGTCAATGTTAAAACAAGAGGGATTATCATGGTGCTTCTTCAAAGAATCCCAAACATGGAATTCTTGCTCTTCATCTCCAACACGGAATTTGACAATTCCGTTTTTGACATCAATAAGGGCGGCTGCGGTGGCTAGAAATGCCCTTCCAAGAATGATAGGGATCTCCATTTCCTCCATCTCCAAGATAAGAAAATCCACCGGAAAGTAGAATTTCCCAACTTTAACAAGCACATCCTCCATAACTCCAATAGGGTAGCGAATTGATCTATCCGCAAGTTGTAAGGCTATGGTGGTTGATTGAAGTCCCCCCACACCAAGCTTTTTAAATAAAGAATGGGGCATGAGGTTGATACTAGCACCAAGATCACAAAGGGATCTTACCTCTCCAATCTTGCCAATAGAACATGGCACCGTGAAGCTTCCGGGGTCCTTCAATTTAGGAGGGAGTTTGTTTTGTAGGATGGCACTACACTCCTCCGTAAGGGCGATGGTAGCAAATTCTGCCAATTTCTTTTTATTTGAGAGTATGCCCTTCAAGAATTTGGCATAGGATGGAATCTCTGCTATCGCTTCGGCAAATGGAATGTTGATGCTCAATTTAGTAAAAATGTCAAGGAATTTTCTATATTGAGCACCATCATTCTTTTTCTTCAATCTTTGAGGATATGGAATGGGAGGAACATAGTTAGCCATATTGGATGGTGGCACCATATGCTCCTCATCTCCATCTCCGGTTGGCTTTTTCGGGGTCTTCTCTTCTTCCGGCATCTTCGGGTCCTCCGTCGTCTTACCACTCCTTGTGGTAATGGCCATCACATTCTCCCTTGGGTTCATTTCCGTGGTTGTAGGAAATTTACCTTGCTCCCTAGAACTTACTTTTTGAGCAAGTTGTCCCATTTGTACTTCAAGATTCCGAATGGATGCCTTGTTGTATTGCTCAATGGTGTCGATGCGTTGGTTGAGCTTCATATTTTGATCTTCAAATCGAAGATCCAACTTGGTGAATTGAGAGTGGAGATTCCCAATGGATGCCTCCACTGTCACGCCCCGGACCTACCCGGACACGTCAACAACCCGCCGTACAGTACGAATAGTCAACCGCAGTCCAACTCATCCATACTATACAAGGCGTCTTGAATACCATTCACAATAGTACATCCATAAACAATCATAATGTAAAATAATTAATTAAAGCAGCGGAAACATTTAATAATGTGTTTATGCCACACTTTGGCTAACATGGGCATACAAGCCCCCAAATAATTATTCAAAAATAATGTCCATGAGCAATGTTTAAAATGTTTTCAAAACAGGAACGGAAGAAGCACGAACCACGTCTCCTCCCTTGAATCTCCCCGAAGCAACGGCGGCGGTAGCAACCTTCAAGTCCTACCTGAAACTGTGAGGTGGCCTCCCCCGTGAAGGGGAGGTCAGTACTTGGAAGCATTTGACAAGTACAATGACAACTATACTAAGTATAATCAAAGTTTCAATTTCCAAGACCCTCACATAGGGTGATAATATAATATAGGTCATAACCCGTGGTTACCCTCTTTGAAAATATACTTACTTTATATATAAAGTCAAGTAGTCGGCCCGAAGACCCATGTTTTACTTTGAAAACGTTCAACCCTTTCCCCGTGACTTCAAGCCACGCCCATCTATATTAATTCACCATGCTAGAGGCTTCCTCTAGTCATGTTTTGCCGTGCTAGAGGCTTACTCTAGTCACTAAATTCGGTGTTAGAGGCTTCCTCTAATCACCTTACATACTTTGTGCTGGAGGCTTCCTCCAGTCACATTACATTATGCTAGAGGCTTCCTCTAGTCATCCTACACTACGCTAGAGGCTTCCTCTAGTCGTCCTACACGAATGCTGGAGGCTTCCTCCAGTCATTCTTAATCGTGCTAGAGGCTTCCTCTAGTCACGATACTAACTCACTAGCAAATTCTATGCCTAGAGTTCCTCAATCTTGAGTAGCCAATGAGGCCTACTCCTAATGTAACTTAGTGGTTACCCATTCCTACCTTAAGACATCTCATAAGACTACTTAAGGTGCATCCTTCACAATCCAAGTCCTTAGGATTAATTTGTTCTATCACCTTTTATACAACATTCCCGATTAGTGAATTAATTACTAATCCATAAATCTTTAAACAGCCAAGCTCCTTAACTCATAGTTATAAGGCTCATTCCTATGGATTTTCTAATCCGCATACGATTTAATCTTAATATCAAAAATATCACTTTTATCCATTCATGATCTCTATACATGAAGTAAAAGTATATTTTATCACAAATATTCATGGTTTATACAATCCTTATACCTCCACATTTATTATGCATCGTCATACACAATTTCCTCATAAATTTGTATGTTATGCATTTTCTATTCACAAACAATGATATTTTCATTTAGGCATTATTAATCATTAATAATCCATGAAAATCACATTTAATTACTTTAGGTAATCTTATGAAATTAACCCAAAGATTATAAGCAATATAGTCAGCCATCCTCACCTTATGAAGTGCTGGAATAGTTGCCTTTGTTAAGCCCTTCGATCGATCCCCGTCCTAAACCGAATAAAAGCTAGAACTGGACTGTCTGGACAAATGCCGGCCGGCTTTGGCAAAAGCCGGGCGATGTTCGTCGGTCTGCAACACGAGCAGCTCCTTCTTCTTGGCGGTTTCCGGTGGTTTCAACTCCTATCGATTCCACGACTCTTCTAAGTTAAATACCACCATATAATAACCATATTCTACACTTTTAAACGTGTAGAACTTCATGTTTAATCCATCGTATGATTTCTTAAAAATCATATAATGGTAATACTAGTTAAAAGAAGGATGATAGAGTTCTTACCTTGAACTCAAACTATTCCTTGTTGATTTTCTTAGCTTCTTTCCTCCAAGCTATGACCTTGATGAGGGGGATTTCCTGGAGCTCCTTCTCTCCTTGTGTTGGCCGAAAGATGAGTGAGCAAGAGGGGATGATTGCTCCTCAATCAATTGTTCAATTGATGTGAGGTAATAGGGACATGAGGTGTGAGTTTGTCTCTAGGAGACTTCTCCCCTCAATCATCCGCACAAGCCAAATTTGTGTGGTCCCCCTCCCTTATTATTTGAGCCTAATTAGTGTGTAGAATACCCCAAGTGGGTGTAGGGAGTCCCTCCCAATTATTCCTGCTATTTTTGGTAGGTTCGGCCAAAATAGTACTCGGGTTGTTCAAATATTTTTATCAACTTTTATTGGCACTTTATTGGGCCCCTATAATTATTATGATAACCCAACTAAATATTTGGTAGCCCATTCTCATATAATGGACCCGATATGTAATTTAATTAATCGTGCATTAATTAAATATGCCGATCAATTACACGAATTATGTTCGCTAGGAAAATTAAATTACATGTCGAATTTCAAATTCAAGTACATTCGGGTGCGGTGTCACAAGTTCACCCCCCCTTAACGGGAATTTCGTCCCCGAAATTCACAAATGCCTATTCAAAAAGAAATGCATATTGTTCCTTCATCAAGGCTTCCGTTTCCCAAGTTT